AGCCATTTATCCAACTGTCCATCCAGAGCCGCCATTTATAGACCGGATACATCCTAAATATAGAGCCATTTATCCAACTGTCCATCCAGAGCCGCCATTTATAGACCGGATACATCCTAAATATAGAGCCATTTATCCAACTGTCCATCCAGAGCCGCCATTTATAGACCGGATACATCCTAAATATAGAGCCATTTATCCAACTGTCCATCCAGAGCCGCCATTTATAGACCGGATACATCCTAAATATAGAGCCATTTATCCAACTGTCCATCCAGAGCCGCCATTTATAGACCGGATACATCCTAAATATAGAGCCATTTATCCAACTGTCCATCCAGAGCCGCCATTTATAGACCGGATACATCCTAAATATAGAGCCATTTATCCAACTGTCCATCCAGAGCCGCCATTTATAGACCGGGTACATCCTAAATATAGAGCCATTTATCCAACTGTCCATCCAGAGCCGCCATTTATAGACCGGATACATCCTAAATATAGAGCCATTTATCCAACTGTCCATCCAGAGCCGCCATTTATAGACCGGATACATCCTAAATATAGAGCCATTTATCCAACTGTCCATCCAGAGCCGCCATTTATAGACCGGATACATCCTAAATATAGAGCCATTTATCCAACTGTCCATCCAGAGCCGCCATTTATAGACCGGATACATCCTAAATATAGAGCCATTTATCCAACTGTCCATCCAGAGCCGCCATTTATAGACCGGATACATCCTAAATATAGAGCCATTTATCCAACTGTCCATCCAGAGCCGCCATTTATAGACCGGATACATCCTAAATATAGAGCCATTTATCCAACTGTCCATCCAGAGCCGCCATTTATAGACCGGATACATCCTAAATATAGAGCCATTTATCCAACTGTCCATCCAGAGCCGCCATTTATAGACCGGATACATCCTAAATATAGAGCCATTTATCCAACTGTCCATCCAGAGCCGCCATTTATAGACCGGATACATCCTAAATATAGAGCCATTTATCCAACTGTCCATCCAGAGCCGCCATTTATAGACCGGATACATCCTAAATATAGAGCCATTTATCCAACTGTCCATCCAGAGCCGCCATTTATAGACCGGATACATCCTAAATATAGAGCCATTTATCCAACTGTCCATCCAGAGCCGCCATTTATAGACCGGATACATCCTAAATATAGAGCCATTTATCCAACTGTCCATCCAGAGCCGCCATTTATAGACCGGATACATCCTAAATATAGAGCCATTTATCCAACTGTCCATCCAGAGCCGCCATTTATAGACCGGATACATCCTAAATATAGAGCCATTTATCCAACTGTCCATCCAGAGCCGCCATTTATAGACCAGATACATCCTAAATATAGAGCCATTTATCCAACTGTCCATCCAGAGCCGCCATTTATAGACCAGATACATCCCAAATATATAGCCATTTATCCAACCGTCCATCCAGAGCCACCATTTATAGACCGGATACATCCTAAATATAGAGCCATTTATCCAACTGTCCATCCAGAGCCGCCATTTATAGACCGGATACATCCTAAATATAGAGCCATTTATCCAACTGTCCATCCAGAGCCGCCATTTATAGACCAGATACATCCCTAATATAGAGCCATTTTATTATTTTAAAATGGTGACAGGGTCTCTTTAACTTTCGTCTGGTTCTTATTTTTTTCAGCACTGCAGTGAAATCCGAGTCTTCTATGGATCACATGATCACATCAACAGGGATGGACAAGAACCCGAGTCATATGACTGAGAGGATATTTAATCTCACCCTGGAGATCATCTACCTGCTGACCGGAGAGGTGAGGAACACTCTGGGGAGGTCACATGACATCACTCTTATCCCTATTAATAAAACAAAGACCTGACCAAAAAGGTGAGGGGGATTCTGGGAGGTCACATGACATAGGTGTTCTTCTTTCAAATCAGAGTTTTCCTCCGGTGAAGTCTGGTGACTATATAACCATCACAGTGCCTTCACCTCACTCCATGAAACCCGAGAGGAGCAATGACAAGAAGATCCTAGAAGTCACCCAGAAGATCATTGAGCTGCTAACGGGAGAGGTGAGCGGTGCCGGGAATTCTGGGACATGATCCAGGAACAGACAAGGGGTGTGTCTGGAGGGTGACTGTATCATTGTGTGTGTCAGGATAATTCGATGGAGGAGCATTTAGGAGGAGACCGGGATCTCTACAAGGACGTGGTGATGGAGAATGCCCCGCCCCTCACATCACCGGGTAAGAGGAGAGAGCAGTACGGAGGCTCCGCCTACATCCCCCATCATCTGATACACACATAGAAACAATGTATTCAGTCAGTGTGTGTGTCTCCTACAGATGGATCCAGTAAGAGGAACCCACCAGAGAGATGTCCCCGTCCTCTGTATTCCCGGGATCCCACCCAGGAAGATCTCACCGTCCCTCACCATGATCAGGTAGAGCACAAAACTTAAATGAAGAGGACACCAGGTCACATTTCAGTACTTACACTGCTTGGTTGAAAAACACATCTAAAGTGTCTAAACCCTCACTTGACCAATGAGAAGCACTTCTAGGCACCTTTTCCCCAAAAATGTATGACTAGTGGGGAGCAGAAGGGACCAATCTGTGGGGCTAATTTCCTTTATTCACATTTGGTGTGAAACTGGAATAACACATGTGATGATGAATACAGAGCTGCATTCCTTTGTGTCTTTTCTATCTCCCCGGAGTTCAGCTTTATGAGATGTTTTCTATTATTTTGGGGTTAAGGGTGAAGAACGGAACAATATAAAAGCTGAGGTTAAAGAGGAAGAAGTGGAGACGTATGTGGGGGGTGACCGGCCATCCACGGGGGAGGTCGGGATGATGATGAAAAGTGATCAGGATGACATTTCTCTACCGATCAACACAAGTAAGTAACAGACACTATGGAGGGAACAGGTCACAGTTCTATGTCACTTCTGAGTAGAAGGTGTGACGTTTAAGGGATCATGTTGGAGAATTATCAGATCTTCACATCATCAGATAAGATGAGACTGAATTATAAATGGTGGACCATCAAAGTTGTGAAGGAGATTCCCCAGAAGAAGTCATCTCTCCTATTGTAGGATGAAGGGGTCGTGCTCCCTTACATTGGTTGTCCATCTCCATTCCTCAATGTAACGTCATGTGACCAACAAATGAGGAGGAGATACTGTACACCATATGAAGGTCCATCTCCATTCCTCAATATAACATCATGTGACCAACAAATGAGGAGGAGATACTGTACACCATATGAAGGTCCATC